TATGCGGATTTATTACTTAAATCCCACCTACGGGCGATATTTATCTTCAATCCTGCAACGCGTTATTCGTTTTTGACCACTTGTGTTATTTATGCAAATTTGGCCCTCGGGCCCCGAACAGATTTTGACGTTATTGTGCCCCGACATTAGTCAGAAAAACTGGTTACGAGGGAAAGAATAAACGATCTTCCCAAATTGCCTCTGTGTTTTTCTCTCATTTCGATCCCTTAAAATCATTCCCTTCAATCCTTCATTTACTATCTTTGCATATATTTCAAACTGATCTTCTCAGTAAAATTTACTTATCGATTAAACCAATTAATACTAAAAATATATCACAGTTTTAGCATAATGTGTCTTTTAATCTCTGCATCAATTATATAGAAATTTAATTATACACTTTTTGTATACAAAAAAAATTAAACATTAACTTTAAATATTTTGATTGAAAAATATTTTTCTTGGTTGTGCGTATGTACAATATATGTACATACATATTATGTATACATATATAAAATATATAATATTATATATGCATAGTATATATGTAATTATATATGTATTCTAAAATCTTTGAAAATATGCTGCTTAATGGGATTTGAAATCTAATGATAATTGTGTAAGACATTTACTCGTCATTATCCAAATTATCGCAAAAAAGTCCGTAAAGAATTACAAAAATTATTCGGCGTAATCGCGTGAACGATTGGCCAGCATGCGTTTTACTTCGATAGCAATAACACCGTTTAAAGCAGTTATCGCCAGACGATTGCGCTAAGTGCTTGTAATCCTCCGGGTTGCGCTCTATCACTGAGCGCTGAATTATGAACGCGTAAGAGTAGTAAAAGACCACCTATGTCAGACAGATGTATTCTGTGTGTCAACGCCTGCATTTTCAACATTATTTCGGATGTTTCCTATTTTAATACCCGTGTTTCCCAACCTATTTTTCGAGTTTTATTGCACAAACTGCATTCGACACAAACGAAACAAAGCTTTAATTCAATTCGACACTCGAAGCTTTAAGAAAAATTCTAAAAAAATATTTATTTTTGCTATTTTTAAACAAATATTGCAGCGTCAAAAATTTCTTATAATTATATTTGAATTTATTGAAGTACGTTTGGAACGGATAAAGTGTTTCCTATTAGGCAAATTTAGTCAAACCAGAAAATTAATATTAAAATATATTAGTTTTGTTACATTAATTAATGTGATATAGATCTCTCTCACATATTTCTATTTGTATTAATAATAAATTAAAATTTTGTATTGTAATTAAACATCAAAATCCATCAATTTTATAAGCAACGGGAGATAATATTTCCAACATTCTCTTGCCTATATCTATGTTAGAGCATTCACCAAATTTGCTCCTATTTATACATATTATAATCATCCTGCTTTCAGAGAACCTAAATTTAGTTGTTCCCTGCTGGGCCGAGATCTATATTTCAACACGAGACATTTTAAAAATAGAAATTTTTCGCAATACTTTATCACGTTAAATGCATTCAATAAATCATTATTTGATATCTGTTAAATAAATTTAATTTTAAAGTTAAACACAGTGATAAATGTTTGTTAATTTTTTTACAATAAAGATTTTTCAATTAAATAAATAGAAATATATAACATTTGTAGAAACAAAAATATATAAAAACAATAATTTAAATAAATAAAAAAAATTGTAATGCAAATATGAGAAATCTCTTATACCTTTTTAATGCTAAAAAAAACTTAGAGCAAAGAAAGCGCGTACGCATGTTCTCAGCAAATATATCGCCCTTGTATTTGAACTTAACTAAGTGGCGTGCTGTGTAAACGACTTTAAATTTAGTTGAAGTGATTTAATATTCGATTCACCACATCGCACACGAAAAACAATGTTACGCTGGTCGTAACATTCGACGAGAATAAAAATAATTTTCAGATGATAATAACATATTAACTAAAGCACAGATGAATTATATTTTGTAATAATAAAATAATTGTTATTATTGTATGATATTATTATTATTAAATATAATTATTATGATTAAAAGAGAATTAAATTTAAATTAGAGAATAGATAGTAATTTAATAAAATACTTTCACAATTGATGATTTATTTTGTTTTGCAATTTATGATTCGGTCCATTGCATTTTTCACAATGGTCTAGTTAAGGATTAATTATTTCTTCTTTTATTTGAATCACTTTCGCGATTCAGCAGACGGGAATTCCCGCCTCATTTCTCTCTCCTGTCGACATTCCATCTTAGATCCCCCTATAATCTGTGGACCTGCGGTTTAATATTGAACCAAACTACCGCTCGAGATAAAACAACGACGAGAACTCGACTGGACGCGAACAATGAAGACAACAAAAACCGAAGAAGTGACCGCTTCGTTGAACGCGCGATGTAAATATCAGCTCTGCCAGAATTAGACGAAGGATTATATTAGGTATCATTCTCGTGTGACTTTGATCGCAAGGTCGTATGTCTCTAGGAGTAACTCTATCGTGAGAAAATTTAGATTCTTATTTAAATTTTATCAATTTCAAAAATTACTGAACGATAATTTATCAATTAAATGCATCTTTTAAATAATTTATAAAATTGTTTTAGCATTTCATGTATAAATCATTTCGTGATAAGTCAAGTACATGAGGAAAAAATATCCCAAAAATAAAAAAAACGAAAATGTAAATTTGTTAATTTAATTAAAAATTAAGTCGCAATAATATTTTCTGTTTTTAATAAATTAAATTATATATATTCTAACTGAATTATTATTAGTCAGAATAATAATTATTATTAGTCTACCTATATGTACAAGTATCATAATTAAGATTTTGTTAGCATTAAAGATTGATATAACGCAAGGAGATTAAAGATCTTCTTTTACATATATATTTAATTTTTGAATTGTCTGAAAATAGTTACGATATATTTGATTATTGTTAAATTTTGAAACTTGAATTTGACTAAAGTTAATATTGTATTCAATTAATATTAATATATATCTGTCGCTCATAAAATAAAATAATATTCTAATCGAAGCATAAGACGATTAAAAATCCATCAATATTTAAGCCAGATTAAAAGCACACAAGACACTTAATTCTTTTCCAATCTTGCAAAAGTCTCGATATTATGTATGCAAAAAAGATAGGGACGATTACGTGATACTATGAGTCCTTAAATATCGCAGATCTCACTGACATGTTGAAGAAGGCAACGGCGAGGTCATCGCGCGTGACTCAGGAAATACAACGTGAAATTCACAGGCAGAAGGAGATTCGAGAACTCGACGGATTCCAGGATTACGTGGACGCGATCAGCTTTTTACCCATTCCTTTTTTCATCCGCCGTTCTCGCCGTTCGACCGGATTCTTCCTTATTGCCGAATCCGCCGAATCTCTTATCCAAGCGATAATAAAAAGGACGATGAGCCCTCCCGAGGAGGACGATGGCGACTTCCTGCATGCCACGCGGCATCCATACGCAGGACCCACTCGCGGAACACTTTCGGTAACGAGTGCGTAACGAGTCCTCTCGAGAGTGCGTCCACCTTTTGCATACCGGTGCGCCTCATCCCTTCTTTTTCTCCGTCCTGCGAATCTCGCAGGTGTGGAATTTTTTCCACGTCTCTTCCGAGCGACAAGATGCTTGGTCACATAGAGAATCTCGCAGAAACTAATTCGCGTGATTGATTTTTTACATAGAAACCAACCACATTATATTATTCAATAATTATCAGGGTGTCCAGCAGACTCAATGAAAAAAATTTCCTACTTCTTCAGATTTTCCAAAACCAGAAATTCATTTTTTTTCCTGACTTTTTAGTATTATTTTTCCTAAATATATAATTTGCATATATCTGTATGATAAATCAATTAAATATTAAATCATGAAATCCTTGAGATATTTTTGTCAACGATGAAAAAAATTTCCTACTTTTTCAGATTTTCCAAAACCAGAAATTCATTTTTTCCTGACTTTTTAGTATTATTTTTCCTAAATATATAATTTGCATATATCTATATGATAAATCAATTAAATATTAAATCATGAAATCCTTGAGATATTTTTGTTAACAATGAAAAGGTATTTGGAAAGTGATGATAATATATTCATTGCTAAATAAAGTTTCAAGAATCAAAATCAATTTATAGAAAAAAGATAGAATAAGACAAATGAGTTAGCCTTAGTAAGTCGACATAATGAGAAGTCCTAAAATTGTATCCGCAAGATCTCCTGTTTAATATCCGTTTCTTCTTCATTTTCCAAGAAATAAGATTAATAAGAAAAAGATGACAGCAAGCTATCGAGCTATTCTTAATACTGTCAAAACCACCGTGACAATGTCACAGACGAAGACTTTTTAAAACCTCGGCCAAGCTTTTGGAATGCATGTTTAATGAATTAAACAGCCAACCTGGAAGGGTTAAAGTCCTAAATTCCGGTAACAATATCCAGCACCTATCCTACCCGCAAGGACCAACGAAAAAAAAAAAAACAGCTCCGGGGACAGGACGAATGATCATCGCTCGTGTGCATGCATCCTTCGGGTGCATCCTAAATCTCGTCCAATGGGGAGTTCTCGAATAAGAAGCAGAGAAGGGATGAGATACGAAGAGAAGGAGGAACGAAGGATGTGCGAAAGCAACGGTTGCGAGCACTTCCTGAGCAACAAGAAGAGGGTCCTACGCGGCGGCACCACCTTGTAATTGAGGTCCTACGAACCCTACAGAGTGTTGGCAGCGGTGGGGGTTGCCCTATGTAAGGCCCTGGAAGCGACCAGGTCCAGCCCATCCAGCATCGGGACTCCATCGAGCGTCAGGACTCGCGCGGTCGATTGTCAGTAATCGATTACCCTTCGACATCCGCGAGGAAGATCCAAAGTCGGAAGAAATCATTTTCGCGAAAAGTATTCCTTTATCCTGGGTGGAGGGTACCGACCCCTCGCAACTGTCGTCGGTGCAACAGAGAAAGAATATAATACCGCGAGAAAGATGAAAGTGAACGTGACTTTAGTCGTTGTGCTCCTTACTCTAGGAATCGTTAACGCGGCCAGGAGGAGAGTCAGATCCACGACGGCGTCGGTGGTGAAGACGACGCCGGCGTCGTTCATCGGTAGACAGTTCGCCTTCGCCGAACAGCCCGAAGGTCAGTGCTGACGGTTTCAGAATCGAAGGTCTCGAGTTGCGCGAGAGCTTCCGTAACTGTGATAACGATAACGTAACATTAATATAATGTCTCTAATTTTTCAGAGTGTATATGTGGTTATATTTGTTTGTGCATATATAAAAATATATTTGTAAAAATATGAATATTTGTAAAAAAATATGAATATATATATATGAATTATATATATTTGTGCTACTTGCAGAATTAATTACGATAACATTTTGAACTATTTAACTATTTAGTACTGTTTACAAATTATTATATTTTCTTGTTTCTTTACTATCCTCATATTTTACAAAATTATTCAAATGACTATTTATTATTAATTATCTCCAACTTTGAATTCTTATCTCGCGCACAAACAAATATATTTTTATATCAGACTGTCGTTAAACAAATTTCACGCGCCATATGAAATTTCAGAATTAGAGACTCTGTGGGATAATTTTGACATCCAGAAACTAGACAGCCGTTCAGAGATCTGGAAGAATGTCTCGGTAAATCATAACGAACCCAGGCAATATCCGGGACTTCCGATCAATCCGGGTGACACAAATGAACTTCCGAGTCCTATCTCGACACCGGCGCCGACATCGCCGCCGCATAATCTTCCACCGGGCTGCCTGGCCTCGCGAGGTCAGTACTCGAGTCCGAAAAGCTGTGCTAATTATTTGAATTGCTGGGACGACGTCGTGATCGAACAGACCTGTCCGAAAGGTTTACTCTTCAACGATGCCGCCGGTTACTGCGACTTCCCTATCAACGTCAAATGCGGCGATCGACCGCCCGCCACGCAACGTAAGTGCGATAATTATCACGAAGGACTTTCAACCCGTTAATTTTGATTGTCTTTTTCTCAGAGTAGAATTATTTGCGAAAAATAAAAATTGGGAAAAATATCAGTATGACGTAATAATAATTTAGATATATTAGATCAAATTTTTAATGCCCTTGCTAAAAAATCTATAGTGATGGCTTTTGTAATTTATTTAAATGCTATAATTGAAAAAAAAAGAAAGAAAGAAGAAAATTAAATTAATAATAATAATAATTGGAGAAGTAAAGAAATAATTCGATTATTTGACAGAACCACCATTGCCAGCGGGATCGAAACGTTGTCCGGATCTAAACGGACGTTATAGAAGCTCGACCAACTGTTCGGAATTCTACGTGTGCGTTACGGGCAAACCCATCAAATTCTGCTGTCCTCCAAGTCTGGTCTACAATGACGTAAGAATACATGCTAAATAATGCGACGTGAACACGCGGAATTTTAAGTAGCGAAATAACACTGTGACATGCTGCTTAAAATAATAATCTCGAAAAAAAATCTGATTAATTTTATTTATACTAAAACATTACGAGAAATTATTTAACATAAAATATGTTGCTAAAAAAAATAGCTATAAGCTGAATATGAGTTCTAGATTTTTATGATTATTTCGACATTATAATAACCGTCTAAATATCATACCATTTATCTTTTAACACATTAATATTATACGTATATAAGTTATAAATTTTCTCATTTTAGATATTTTCAAAATATAACAGTATAAAAATAAAAAAATTTTTTAAAATTTTGTTTAATCAAAAAAATCTAATATTTTGATTTTATTTCTGCATTCTTTATACTTTCTGCTACATCAATTTCTAAAAAGTAGTTTAATTAGAAAATGCGACGAAAATTATAAAATAAAGATTACTAAAATATATTTCATACAAATATGTATTTATAGAAAATTATATATAAAATTATTATAAATACCTATGTAACAAATCTATTTTTATCAAGGGAAAAATAACTAAAATATATCATAATTATAATTTTATCTGGCAGCTATTGAATGTTTGCGATTATTTAAACAACGTGGACTGCAAAGGCTTAGCCACGCCGCAACCACCGAAGCCTACGCAACCGCCAACTCGACCTTCGCAACCGCCGACTCGACCTTCACGACCACCGACTCTACCTTCGCAACCACCGACTCTACCTTCGCAACCACCGACTCTACCTTCGCAACCACCGACTCTACCTTCGCAGCCACCGACTCTACCTTCACAACCACCAACTCTACCTTCACAGCCACCAACTCTACCTTCGCAACCACCAACTCAAGCTTCGCAACCTCCTCCCACCAACCCTTCACAACCACCCACTTATCCCTCTCAACCACCTGTTTATCCCTCTCAACCACCTGTTTATCCCTCTCAACCACCTATTTATCCCTCTCAACCACCTGTTTATCCCTCTCAACCGCCTATTTATCCCCCACAACCACCAACTTATCCTCAACCAATGAATCCTCAACCACCGATCTATCAACCTTATCCACCATCACCCTCTTATTCCGGGAATCCTTGGTTAAGCAAGATCGAGGCTGATCCCTGGCTTCCGCGATCGCAAGCACCTCAGTTGGAGATCAACAAAGAACACAAACAGGAAGCAATTTCGCTCGATAATCAATTATTAGATAATCAGCCCATGCATGTCGCAACGGAAACACCCAGTCTGGTGAACCCGTGGACTCTGTTCCAGGTGATACCAAGCGAATTAATGAACGCCACGTGTAACAACGATGACGTGCATAGACTCAATGATGCCTGCACCAACGTTATAGTTTGCAGGAATAATAAGCCTCAGATAGTGAGATGTTCAACGGGCTTCTCATATGATAAGCCGTCAGATTCCTGCAAGCCTTTCAGCATTGCCAAATGGTATGAGCACTCTTTTTTACGTATTATAGGTATATTCAAATACTTTACATATAACGACTGTCGTAGTATATTAATTAAATATATATGTTATATATATAGATATTTTACACATTGATATCAATTAAGAAAATATGTTTCTCTTTGTTTCAGCTAATGAACGAGCTCTTTAGAATGCGCGCTAAGGATGCGTACTTCAATAAAGTATAGCATTTTTACTAAAACAGCATGTCAACTATTTTCTATCAGTGCAATATTCAATTAAAAATCCGAGTTCAAGCAGCAGTAGCCGAGGAAAATGATCAATAAGCAATTTCTTAAGGATAAGAAGCGTCTAATATAAACTAAATAAATAATATATAAATAAATCATTAATGATATTTAGTATCTCTGCAATTTTTGCATTCACTTCTTACTCCTTTAAGTAAAGTTATTAAAGTATAACTTTTGATTAAACCCACAATAGTCTCTGTCATATATATTTTTTATATTTTAATCCCAATTATCCTATATTCAATGCTTAAATAAATATAAGTAAATAAAAATTTCTGATTTTTAAATTTAAGATACTTAATAATAGAAAATCAAGTTTTGATCGAAGCTAAAATAAATACATAAAATTAAAATCGCTAAAATTAAAAGAGTCTCGCCGAGAAATTCTTTTTATGGAAAATTGCCATCGATGGTAAATTGTTCGCAAAAATCATGCAATTCTGACGGTTTATATCAAAGTCACCAGATTGCAGCACGCGTTCTCCACGTTCTCCAGGTCACTCGAAGGACGAGGAGAGCGGAATCGAAGAGAACGATGAACGAGAGGGAAGATCGGAGGGGTGCGTTTCTAGCGATCAAAGAAGATCATTATGAGGAATTAGAGCGTGATCAATTCACGAAGAGAAATGTTTCGTTACAGAATACATCGCACACGTACGTTTGACACTCCGTGGCAGCGTTAAAATGGCCGACGAGCTCCCACTGCTCGACATATCGGCACGTAACTGGAACACACGCATTTTTTCTACTGTTCTAGAGAGATCGAGTGCGCCAAGACATTATATTCTTGAATTTTTTCTGACAATCTGGTAAGCGATCTTCTGCGCCGTTTAACAGATTTATTAGATCGTGACTATACGCGTTTTTCACGTCGAGTAGCTCGTCCTAATTTTCACGCCTTCATAAAGATAAATACTACTAATCTCAACGTTATTTCATGTTATATGATTATTAATGTACATCATCAATAATAATGCCGATGATTATGAATCGAGAATTAAAGAGCATGTATAATTTAATAGATAAATTCGATAAATCTACAATATATGTTTAATATATTACTTCGACATCACGCTTATCCAAGCGATGCAGTCTTCGCTTTGGAAACTCATGATATAAAGATATTTTATATAAATATAAATTTTTAAAAATCGAATCTTTTAAAATAATAAAACATTTTCCAATTGAGTTTTAAAAATTCCAATGTCGCGACAGCTTATCGAATTTTCATCAAAGATTTTAATGTCAAAGACTTCAAATGATTGAGAAGAAAAATAGGAATTCTTGAAGCAATATAATAAATTGCAAAGCTGAAGATGTATCAATTTGAATTTTTAATTGATATCAGCAGTTAATTAATTTTGCACACATACATACACACACACCTCATTATATCTATATATATATTATAATTTTATTTAATAATAATTAATAGTTTAATTAATAACATTTAGTAAATATCTAGTTAATTTAGTAACTAGATAGTAATTAAAGTATTAATTTCATTTAACAATATTTCTAGCAAAATAAAATAAAGCAGTTGATGTTACAATCAATATGCTTCAAAGTAGTATTTATTGCGTGATCAATTTCTCTTCTCTCCTCTCAATGGCGCATTGTCGAAAAAAAAGATGGCACGTCAAAGAGAGGACTATAATCGCAGCGGTCTTTTTAAGGTCTTTTTTCACAATCGGAATTTTGTGCTTGATCGCGCAGAAGCATCGATGAAAAATTTGTTGTCAATAAAAAAGGAAACAACAAAAAAGAAACGGAAGAAGAAACTTTCAGACAGATATGTTATAATATTTTTTCAATATCCATACACACACGCACTCACACATACACGTGTATCACAATATACTTACAATTAATGAGTTATAAAATTGAAACATATATATGTATTCAAGTTACTGTGTAACAATTATATAAACAAATGCCCATGTAATCACGCGATGATATTATATAATGGCAACGCCATAAAGCTGTAACATAATGATTATATAACTGTCTCAAGATTATACGTCAATCATGTAAATATATAAATAATAATTGCGAGATTTTTGTCGTCAAATACTTCTACGCTTAAAGAATTTCGCAGAAAGTTAGAGTTAAAAGTATTTTGTTATTAAATAAAAATTGTGTCATTAATATCTAATCTTTTTTTACAAAAAACATTTTTAATTAAGCAGGATGATTTTGACCCAAACAAAATTCGTGAAATCGTTTAGAAACGGATGATCGGACATCGAAAGTAGAGGCTCGTACGTTTCACTCGAACTCGGTGGCGCAAAACTTGATAATTACGTAATAATACGCGACGTGTGTGTTACGTTGAGGGGATATGTGAAGCGGCAAAAGGTCCCGGTGAAATGTGAAAAGCATGGAGAATCGATTGTGACGAAGTGGGGAAGTCATCGAATACATAAACGGCCAACGAACGCCAGTAATTCAATTAAAGCATTATAATTTAAAAAACTTTGATAAAAATCGCTATCCCTAATGAGAATGGCGAAAGTAACCATCAGTTCTTCAAAATATAAAACGAGTAAACATGGAAAGAAAAGTAAATATTTCTCAGAATTCTTCCGTGTTATTACTTATAAATTAAAGAAATTTTTTTGTAATGAGTAAAAATAGATAATTAATATCATATTGTTATTTAAACATTCGACATAAGTCGATTTCATTCTCAAATACTGAAATATATTTTATAATATGAAAATATTACAAAATATTAAATATTGAAATATTATAGGTATATATTTTCTTCAAAATTTAAGAGTAACCGAGAAAATGAGTTCTGAACGGGACGGCGAAAAGATATCACTTTCCCGTTGCTTTCATGCCGCTTTCCTCCTGCCACACCCGTGTATATTTGCGATTCTGCGAGAGATCGAAAGAACGCTCGATTTCAAACATGATGGACGAAAAATGAAAAATACAAAATGTAGCTATACTTAAACACAGATATTTAAAGTTAATTCTTGCATGTTTCTACCTTTCGACGCATAAAACCTATTTGAAATAAGTACTTATCCTATATCGCGAAAGAAGCAATAAAATGTAAAGCAAATAAGGTAAGAACGTTCACATTCGCGAAATGATTGCAATAATAATTTGCGGCAACGGGAAGGAAAGAAGGAGAAAGAGATAATTCCTGTATTACGGAAGGTCCGTTCAGTCTAGAAAGGAAGGTATTTGCGAGCTGGCCGCGCGAGCTGTACGGCCTCGACCTTTCCAGAAAAACTTGCCGTCAACGAGCCCTGCGATTAGGCACGCGTGAAAGATCAACGATGAACGCCTTCCGCTCGGGGCTACCACGTGCTATGCAAACGCGCCGCTGCCGCCGTTTATTACGCGCGAACAAATGTTTTAGTATAACAGGGTGTCCAGTACTTGAAATGTCATTTAACATTTCCAGGACATTTCAAGGAATTTGCACGATTTTCGAATAGTACAGGGTGTCTCATAGGAAATTGCTGAAACTAATCAGCTGTCATCTTTCAATGCATGCAGTTTTGAGAAAACAAAATTGTGTTAAAAAGAGGAAAGTTTGCAGTTTTTAATAATATAAATAAAATGTTTGTAGATCAGTTTATTTTATTGAAAAAAAGTAATGAAAAATTAGTTTCAGCAATTTCCTATGGGATACCTTGTATGATAAATATGTAAAAGGAACTGAAAATTTTATTTTTTTTTATCAAGTCGATATAAATTGCACGTTAATGAAAATTAATATATATGCGTTACAAATATTCCATATAATATTTTTTATATTATATTATATTTCAAACTTTTAAAATCTACACAGAGAAAATTGTCTCTTAAAATTTACCCTGAAAATCATGGTAATCGTAGAACAATATGATATTCGAAGAATTTTATAAGAGTTTCTCTGATTAATATTTACCGTAATAAAAAATATTAATATCTACCACAATAAAATATTAATATTTTTTATCGCGGTTTTTAAATATTTAATCAGAGAATTCTTATAAAATTCATTCCACAATTATCATGATTTTCAGGGTAACTTATAAGAAAAAATTCTCGCCGTGTACAAACAATTTATGTACAACACATTTTGAATTCCGTAAATAAAAAATATATTATATTATTTATGAAGTAAGATTAAACATTTTTTACTCGAATTCTCAGCTGAATTTTTTAGCTAAATATTTAGAACCAACAAAAAAATCAAAAAATCTTCGAAAAATTCAAGTACATTTCCAAGATTTTTAAAGAAAAACAAAATTCCAGAATATTTCAAGAATTTCCAGGATTACAAGAACGGCTAGACACCCTGTATAAATGAATTCAGAAACCTGTAAAAAATTTAAAAAACTGAAATGTTTCTAAGATATTTAATTTTTTGAAAAATAAAAATTTGAAAATACCGATGCATAAATATTTAAAACTGTATAAGGATAATTATATAAGTGCGATTTTCAATATTTATATTAGTAGAAAATGTAAATAATTAATTAGAAAATATTGTAAATAAAAAAGGAGTAAGACTTTTCGATAAAATTTAATAAATTATAAAGTCATAATATTTTGATAGTTAAATTAAATCTGCTGGAAAATTAGAGTGCATCGTTACGAAATTTCCGTCACCAAGGAATCGCCTTTCTCTCATCTTAATGAGTGTCAAAGGACAATGTCCTTTCGGTGACAAAGCGGCACACGGTTAAATGTTAACTCGAGTCATGCAATATTTCAGCTAAAATAAAGTTTGCCGTTTTACGAATCTCACATTTTTCAATCCTCTTCATCGTCATTTTAGAATCTAAAGTTGCCAATTAGACTGCATTAATAAATTTTTTATAACTATAAATTACAAGGTATTACAAGTACCTTGCAATTCACATTATTACAAAAATG